GTAATTAAGGATTAATATGGGGGGGGGGACCCACTGCTGCCAAGTCAACTCCAACTCACGGTGATCCTATAGGAGGACAAACTCAGACTGATCGATCCATAAGGGTTCCAAGGCTGTGAATCTCTACAGAAGCAGACTGCCACATCTTTCACCTGTGGAACGGATGGTGAATTTGAACTTCTGACCTTCTGGTTAGTAGCCAAGTGCACTTTAACCACCGCGCCACTTGGGCTCCTTTGATAGTGGAAGTTATTTGCCAAATGGGTCCAAGTCCCACAGAAAGGGGTTAAAGGTGTAGATGGTGTATCACTGAAGAAAGTGATAAAAGACAGAAGACTGCAACGAAAACTACTACCACTTTATACCCAAGAGAGGAGAATAAAAGCACCCTTTGCCCCTCAGCCTTTTAATCTGCAGATGCTATTACTTATTGCTGTCTAAGCTCGGAGTATTATTTTCTGTTTTCAAGTTAGCGTTACATAGCACAACATTAATCTCAGAATCGACTCTTCCAAGTATTATACAAGGTGATGATTTATAGAAAAACAAAAATCCTCTCCTGTTCCTGAGCTTGGCTCTTCAGCTCAGTGCCACATTTAAGGGTGCTTTGTTTCAGAGCACGATTAGAGTGGCGCCCTTGGTAGTGATTATACTGGCGCTAATTGTACTGCCCAAGTCTGGGCACTGCAATATATTGAAACTTCCATTTTGGGGTATGTAGTGACTAAAAATTCTCTCCCAGCTCAAACTTGGCATCAACCACTTATCTCAGCAGAAGCAAGATTACTGAGTACAGAACCACAGGAACCCAGCATTTTCCTTCTCTTATACTTGTTCAGAAAAAAGAAAAGAAAAAGAGAGAGAGATCCTATTGAAATAACACCTATGGTTCCTTCATTCTTACACTAAAATTTCCAACACTGAGGGGTCTCTTCCCAAGGATAATCAACAGGTTGCTATAACTGGATTAAATTCAATCAGATGTGATAGGCCATTTTCTCTTGCACTAATAGAGCTCAAATTTTCTAGAAGTCAAAATGAAATAATTTCAGCTTCTTTTTTAGAAGAACGAAGAGGCAAAATAATGATGGAATCCCTTCTGTGCCATTCACTAGCCCTTCTGTCTATGGTTTCTCTACAGTTTTTCTATTTCCAACAGATCACCATCTGAAATGGAATTAACCTACAGTATGTCTCTGACATAGTGAAGGTGGGAGTTCAGTTCTAACAAAAACTATGGAGTACAGACTGCATCCAAAAGATGGCAGGTCCATGGAGTCATGAAGGAGTGGAACTCAGGCATAAGCTGACCTAAATTTGTCACAACTCAAGACACATGCTCAGGCAATTGAATGCCACTATCTCTATATGGGAATGTTTTACCCATCGCCAGAATGGCAGTACTTTGTATACTTAAAAATAAAAAATAGGCACAAATAACTAATTACTTTAAAAATATCGCTTTAGAAAACTTTCAACCACTTTGCTCATATTTGTCAACTAAAGGACAGTATTTACTTGGTCTCACATTATTTCTGTTAAGTAAACAGAAAGAGTATTTGTGCTTATTACTTTTATTGTGTGTTGACTATTTGCCAGACACCTCTGGTGGCACAGTGGTTAAAGTATTTGGTATAGTATTACCAAAATGTAGAAGGTTCAAACCCACCAGCTGCTCTGTGGGAGAAGGATGTTAGCTTCCATAAAGATTTACAACCCTGCAAACCGTATGGGGCAGTTCTTCTCTGTCCTAAAGGGTAACTATAAATTGCAATCGACTTGATGGCAGTGGGTTTTTTGGTTTTGGTGCTAAATGTTTTATATGTATTTTATCTTATTAATCCATACCAAAACCTTTTAAGTATTCCTGCTGTCCCTATTTTAGAGGAGCAAACTCCAATTATTTACTTAAGATCTTATAATTGAGAGAAGACATACATCTACTAAGAAGGTAGTTATGTAGTTTTCTCCCATTTAAAAAAGGGAAAGAATTTGCTTCTGCTCATGTTCTTAGATGTTATTAACAAAGAACTTGAACTGGAAGGAGGTAGGTCTGCAACTAGAGTTCTCAAACTCTTCTTGGAAGAGAAGTATTTAAATGGTCTTATCTTTGTTTAATCATTTAACTATCACCATCCTGTCATTCCTACTTAGAGAAAGAATATCAACAAAATTCCAAGAAACTTAGAGGAATTTCATAAAATATTGATAAATAAAACATTAAATCAAACTTTATATTTAGGGTGCATAACTTTGTATATATTGCCTAGGTAAATATCCTACACTCCCAAAATAAATAGCTCTTAAAAGTATAGATTAACCAAGGGTTTAGCAAAGATTAGACTGTTATATACAAATGCTCAGAGTATGTGTTCAAGTAACATTTCCATTACTGTAATGAAAAATATTCTGTGAATGCACAAAATCAAAGTGACATATATTTCTGGAATAATAATCTCACAGTGAGGAGGATAATGTTTTGAAATAATCCGGACAGTGATGAGGGTAATTTTATACTTTCAACACCTAAATACAATGAACTACATATAAATTTGGCCAGACAGTCTTGGAGTCCTGACCCACAAAGCACTCCAAAATTAAAAAAAAAAAAAGGCCATTTGGTGGTCTCAAAATTCCCCATTATCAAAACTACCCCTGTAGTTCTGAACCCAATCCAAGAAGTATGTCAAAAGCTGGTTGTTTCAGGTTAGGTTTATGATATAGTAACAGAACTGTGTAGGGGGCAAAATATGCTTACAACATGTCCAAGCATGTTTTAGTTAAGTCAGTAATAGTACTCAATGCTAATAAAAGCTCGGAATATTCTTGTGATTGAGAGAATCAAGCACACGGGATACTGTATGTGTAAGCAGGTACTATACTCCGTTTCCCCCCTGCTGGCAGACCCTAGTTACTAAAACCAAGAGCTTCTTTGAGAGAGACTACATCACATATTCCCAGCAAGTACCTCTAGGGCTGGAAAGCAGTGAAGCTCCACGGGGAGAAATTGCCAACAGTAAGAAAATAAAATTTTTAATTATTCCAAAACCCATCCTATTTCTGAAACTGCTGCCTAGGTGCAGACTTCTTGAAGACCCCCTGCAGAATCTTGATTCTCCAAAAAATAAACCCATTTGGAACTGAGACAAGGTGAGGTCAACAACTGGTAATATCCACCAACCATTTATCTAAGAGTCGGGTTCTGTTCTAGCCTCGTCCGGGCCAAGCCTCACCACGAGGGTGAAGACAGGAGACATGGAGGAGGGGAATGAAGGAGAGAAAAGGAGAAAGGAGGAGACCTCCAGCCACACTTCTTTCTACTATCAACAAAAAGGGAAGCCGCATACTGACCTAAATCATCTCTCCAAGGCGCTTTATAAATTACAGGGACAAAGGGGAGGGGGTGGCGGGTGGCCTGGGAATCCTACAGACACCCTACCCTCTGACCCGCCCCCTCCCCCTCCAGCACAAGGGAAGGAAGATAGAAAACAGAGCTCAACTCGGCCATTGGCGAGAGCCCCCACCGGTTTTCAATCGCCTATCCCTCTTTGCCCCCTGGAAAATATACACATAAACACCATACCCTCCCCCTGGGGCGGACACTCCTGCCTCGAGGTCCCTAGAATCGGAGGCCGGGGCATTTACTTAGTTAGATTTTCTTGCTTACTCATTTCCCTCGAGCACCCAACCCCCCGTTGCCACTCCAAAACCCCGCTAAACCGCCTACCCTCGCGGCTTCAGCCCCCCAATATGATCCGGTGTTCCCGCGGCGGCGGCAGCCCCCACGCTGTCCCGGTCACTAACCTGCTGCTGTAAGGGCATTTCCGAAACCAGCCTGGCTCCGGGGCGAGGTGGGGGGGGCAGGCTGGAGAGGGGGCCCGGAGGGCCGAGCAGACCAGCGGCGCCGGGCGAGGGCGAGCGCTGGGGGCGCGGGTGGGGGTGGGGAGGAGAGGGAGGGTGGCAGTGCCGGGGGCGGGTGCGAGGGCGCCGGGACTGTCCCAGGCCAGGGAGCCGGCGAGCAGGAGGAAGTGGGTGCCCCCCTCTCCCCCTCCAGCGCCCCCTCCCGCCGCCGCCTCCTCCCTAGTCACAGGCGCGTCCTCCGCGCACGTGTGCGAAACGTCACCGGCGGGTCCCGGGGAAAGGGACAGACCCAGGCGGCGGGACGGGAACCCAGCTGCCCCCGCCCTCCGTCGCCGGGGGGCGGGGAGGGGGACAGGGCGGGGTAGGAAGGAGCAAGGGGAGAGGCGGGTCAAGGGCAGGCCCGGGGCCCGGCAAGGAAGGCCTGGGCGCTCGGGCCACGCGGGCACCGCTGCCGCCAGGATGCGCCCAGGCCGGGGCGCCAGTCCGTTAGCCCCTCATCCCCAGACAGTGCACACCCTAGCCTGCACCCAGCTTCTAGCTCTACCTCCCCCACACTCCTCCAGCCCCTTTGTTGCTTGGAGTTACAGATCCCAAAATGTGTCAAACGCAGACCAGCGGAGCCCCTGCGCTCGAATCATGTCTTAGAGACCTCGGGCCGCCCACGGGCCTCCGTGGCCTTGCTGGGGGCGATCAACCCAACAGTCCCCGGGTTTCTTCCCCTTGGGGTGCCCCCACTCCCCAGTTCACTACTCCCTCCCCCACCCCCTTCTCCATCCGGGGCGTGACCCCTTCCTACGCTCCGAGAAAGAGGAAGCTTCGAGTTGGAGGGGAGGGGAAAGCGAGGGGATACAGAAAAGTGCAAAAAAGAAGAGGGGGAGCGCGCGGAAAGTTTGCTAGTGTTTGATGTGGTCGCTGCCAAGGCAATCCCCGCTGCCCCACCAGCCTTACAGAGTCCACCGACCCTCTTGGCACCGGGGGAGGAAGCACACGAATCTAACAATGAACCCCCTGTTGGAGGGCCAGTTGTCGAGGCTCACGACGCTTGGCCTTGCACTCCCACGAGGCGGTCCGCATCGTGCCTCCCACCCCGCACGGTGCAAGCCCACCTCCCGCCTGGGCTGGGGACCGGAGGGTATTACCGGAGGGCCGCCGCCGCTGCCGCCGCGTCCCAACGCTGGTGGCTGCTGCAGCAGCCCGGCTCTGCTGGAGGGTCCGTGCGGCGTGGTGTAGAGGAGGCTGCCGGCGGTCTGCTCCGCGCCGGGGGCACTGGGAAGGGGGCCGGCGGCGGGGCCGCCGCTTTGGAGGGAACAAGAGGTGGTGGAAGTGTTCGTGGTGAGGATCTGGATGTACGCGCCTGGGGCGGCGGCAGCGGCGGCGGTGGTGGGGAAGCCCGGGCTGGCTAGCAGTGCCCTTTTGTCCATGGAGGCTGCAGCGGCGGCGGCGACAACAGCCGCCCCCTCCCCACCCCCGGCGGTCACCAGGTACTGCTCCAGGGCGGGCTGGATCCCCTTTCTCATCTCTCGCTCCTGCTCTTTTTTATTGTTACGGTATACTAACGTATTGCTTTCAATTTCTTTATTATTTGCAGCTGGAGTTTCCAAGTCTCTCCTTCTCTCCTCCCTGCCCGGGCGCTTCCGAACCCCCTCTCTCTCTTTTCTTTTTATTTTTCCGCAACGAACGGGCCCCGGGGGCCAAAAATAATCGGGGCCCTGGAGAGAGGAGGGTCCTGGCCGCACGGATATCAAGCCCCGAGGGAGGATGGAAGCTTCGGGGGCTGCCGATGCAACGGATTGCGAGGCGGTGGCGGCAGCTCGGGTGCCGCGGCCGGCAGCTGAAAAATGGCTCCAGGAAGCTGCTGCTGACAATGAATGAAGGGATACGGTTTACGCGCCAAGGTCCTCCCGCGAAACTCAGATTTCCCGCCGGCTTTTCAAACCATATTTGCATATCCCCGCCCCGCAACCCGCCGCGGACCGTTCCCATAGCCCATTGGGTCTCTATCGCCTTACTTCAGTTCCAATCGTGGAGCAGGGCCGCGACTTGCTGGTTTCCATTGGCTACCGTGCATCATGGTTACCGAGGCGACAGGGCTCTATTTGCATAGAACTCCCTGATTGGCTGGGGGCTGAGTGGGATTTTTTTTTTTTTTTGGGGGGGGAGAGGTGGGGCAAAACCTTTCCTTCTCTCCCACGGAAGACCACGCCTGGTTCAGGCCACGCCTCTGTCCCCGCCCCCTCCCCGTTTACCCCGCCAGGCCGGCACTTCTGATTTGGGCAGGGATTCAGCCAGCGCCGGGCAGTCTGAGTGTCGATCACAAGTTTCGTTTTTGGAAATTTTCAAGGTGACCAAAGGGACACTTTCGGTAACTCTTTTTTCTTTGACTAGTCAGTGTAGTAGATGAACAACGATGGGAGATGTTGCCAAATACGTGCCAAAGGCAAGTTGGACCAAGCGGACGATGCCTGCCTGGCAGGTGAAAACAGAGCCCTTTAAATCGTGGGTTTCTCCCTTCCTGAAATCCAACCAATGCCGCGGCGAGAGCTGATTATCTGGCGGAGGCTGATAGAAACATGTGGGCTGACAGAATCGTGGGTGCAGAAGGCTTGGTTGACATGACTGCGGGGACCTTTTAGTTGACATTCTAGATCATTCTTGGTAGCATCGTTATTAGCCTCGATTGAGACGAAGTAAAAATCAACCCTGAATGTTTGGTCAAGTGAACTCTTACCACAAGTATTGGGAAACCCCCTCGCCCGTTCAAACCTCCTTCTTACTGGGGCTCAGAAGCGCCAAGGGCAATTAATCAGGGCTAACCTAAAACTAAACTGTAGGTCTCTAAACCTCCAAGCAGTAATCCTAAAAAGTACAGACTTCCCACCATGACGTGGTGCTCCCAAAGAGCGCTACACGTCTGCGCAGCAGCGTTTTGCAGTGTTTATGCCCTTAGTTTCCTAGGAAGTTCTTCGACAAAGTGAACACGAAGACCTAAGCCTACTCCAAAGTATTTTAAAAGGGAAAAATTTTAAAGAAGAGTAAATTAACAGTTGTCATTTAAAAAAATACTATTGTATTATTATCAAACCGACTTCTGCATCGGTGCAAGTATTTGTGGATCCTAAAATTGAAGATTGACCCTGTGAGACAGCAGGAAAACGAAACCCTGTGGGAATGTGGAGAAAGAGGTATGTGTAGCGGCCAATTATTATTTCTAGTTCCCTGAGAATTATGCATGACACAGAGAACAAGCGCTCACCAGATAATGAGTGCAATACTTTGACCCCTTTCACAAGACTTTACTATTATTATTATTTCCAAAAACTCATATTCTCAGGGGTTTATGAAAGTCCTGACTAGATACTCAGTTCAGGCTAGAAGTCCTTAATACTTCGATCCTGTTACGTGGGTGATGCAAGTGGTTGACTGCTTCACTGCTAACTGAAAGTTTAGAAGTTTGAGCGTACTCAGAGGTATGCAGTGCAGTGAATTGCTTTTGATGGCCCTTCAATCCATCATCCTCCATTTTGTTTGTGCCTGCTCAGAGGTGCTTTGGAAGAAGGTCCTGTTAATCTGAAAAATCAGCTATTGAAAACCCTGTGGAGCACAGTTCTACTCAATGGAATCAACTCAACATCAACTAGTATAGTTACCTTCTCTTGAAATAGGATGAGCTGTAAGTATCATGAAGCCTTGTACTGGGCTCAGGTATATTTTGGTCTTGCATTCAAGCTAGTTGATGATCAATTTGCCTAGATCAAAGTTTGCCTAGTACACAAACCTTTGTTGACACTGTATGACAGAATTGACAACTATCTTTAGGGCGCATTAGGTGGTACTTAAAGGGCATCATTTCCTGATTGAGCTAGAGGCATAACATATTAACAGTTTCCTTGAAGCTGTCCCATCATTGTTGTTTTTTCCTCTAGGTCACTGTGGAGGAAGTTAGTACTTTAAGTTCTTGAAGATTGCCACCTGCAGAACATCGCTACCAGCATGTATTTGCTGGTGGTAGTGGGGGATACAGGATTATGGTGCAATGTGCACAGTCATAATAGACATGCATTTTAAGATACGACAAGCCTAAAATTGAGATTGTGAACAGAATCCCGTCACGAACTCCCAACAGCCTCAAAAAGCCAAGTATTCATAATCCAGATCCACATCTGTGCTGCTGGTTTAGAAGACTTTTAAAAGTTTTATCATTCATCTTAAAACAAAACCAAACCCACTGCCATCAAGTCAATTCTTACTCATAGCAAACCCCATAGGTTTCCAAGGCTGTAAGTCTCTATGGAAACAGACTGCTTCATTTTTCTCCCACAGGGAGGCTGGTAGGTTCAAACAACTGACCTTTTGGTTAGCATCCCAATGCCTTAACCACAGCACCACCAGAACTCCTTATCATTTAACTTAACAAAGTCGTATTTTTCAATGTAGGTATTTGTTTTTTAAAAAAACAATAGCAGGTGTTTTGACATTTTATGTCTTGTGAACCATAGGTTGAGGAGGTAGAAGGAAAGGTTGAAAGACACAAGAAGGAGTTGTTGGAAATTAAGATGGTAAAATTTAAGACAGTGTTCTAATTTGTGGAAAGGTAGCAAGTGTTAGGGAAGGAATCCTGGTGGCCCAGCAGTTAAATGCTTATCTGTTACCTGAAAGGTTGGTGGGTCATACCCACCCTGCAGCTCTGTAAGAGAAAGACCTGGTGATCTACTTTCTGTAAAGATTACAGCCCAGGAAACCCAGCTCTACTCTGTCACATGGGGTCACTATGAGTCAAAAATCAACTCAGCAACACCTACCAACAAAAACAAGTTTCAGCAGAAAAGCAGTGGTTTTGGAGTCAAACTGACCTAGATTTAAGTTCCAGCTATGCCAGCTATAAAGATTAATATAAAGTACTTAATCTTTAAGAGCCTCCATTTTATCACATGTTAAATGGGAACAATAATAGACATATTGCAAGGTTATATGAAATGATGTAATAAATGTATAGCACTTGACATACACACTTGACTGCTAACCTAAAAGTTAGGTGTTCAAACCCATCCAGCAGCGCTGTGGAAGAAAATCCTACCAGCTGATTCTGTAAAAGATCACAATACAAGAAAGCCCTATGGAGCAGGTCTGCTCTAAAATATCAGGTCACCATGAGTTGGAATTGACTTTCCAGCAGCAGGTTTGGTGGGTTTTTTTGTATTGTTTATTTGTTTGTTTTCAAATTTATGATTTTGGAGTCCCTGGGTGGTAGCACAGTGCCTAAGGCATCTGACTGCTAACCAGAAGGTTGGTGGTTCAAACCCACCAGCCTTTCCGCAGAAGCAAGACTACTTCTGTAAAGATTTACTGCCTTGGGAACCCCGTGGGGGTTGCTCTGAGTCAGAATCGACTCAATGGTGGTAGGTTGTGGTTCCCCCCGCCACCCTTGGCTTGGGTGGTATAAATGGTTAACAAGCTTGGCCTGCTAACAGAAAGGTTGGAGGTTTGAGGATTCCACCCAGAGACATCTCAGAAGAAAGATCATAGTGATCTACTTCTGAAAAATCAGCTTTTGAAAACCCTGTAGAGCACAGTTCTACTTTGACACACTGAGGGTCACCATGAGTTGGAGTCAACGTGACAGCAACTGTTTTTTTTTTTTTTTTTTTTTATGATTCTACTTATTTATGAGGTCCTGCTTTGCAGTTCTGTAGTGCCACATGACTCCCCAGCCTCTAATCTTCATTTGCTGGGACAACTTAATTTTGTCCCACACTAGTGCCACAATCATGTCCTGGTTAGGAGGGATTATGGAATCCTGACTCAGAATTTCCGGGTGATAACATAAAGTCAGCTCTGCTGCTTATCCCTCTCTAACCTGCACATCTGTCTGTGAACAGCCTCCAGCTGGTTCCTGAGATAAGCCCTTCTGGCCTTGGGAACTCTGGTGGCGTAGGGCCTGAGGCATTTGACTGCTAACCAGAGGCTAGTGGTTCAAACCCACCAGCCACTCCTTAGAATGAAGATTGGGCTATCTACTTCTGTAGTGATACTGCCTCAGAAACCGAAGGAGGGGTCACTATGAGTCAAATAGACTGTACGACATTGAGTTTGGTTTATTATTTATTTATTTATTTTTGGCCCTCCCTTGAAGTCCAGTTCCTCTACTAGGCTGCACTTGCCAATCACCAGTGCCCTTTCTCTTTCTCTGACAGTGACCAAGGCAGCTAGTCCCAGAATTGGCCTGTGTAATGAGTTGAATGATGCCCTCCCCACCGCAAATAGGTCCATGTCTCAAAATTCTGAAACCTGTAGATGTAACCTTATTTGGAAAAAGACTCTGCAGACATAATTAAGGAGTTTAAGATTGAAATAAGAGCATCCCAAACTAAAAAACAAACCTACTCCCATCCAGTTGATTGCTCCTCATAGTGACCCTTTAGGGCAAAGTACAACTGTCCCATAGGGTTTCCATAGTTCTAAATCTTTACTTCATCTTTCTCCCATGGAGTTTGGTTTATTATTTATTTATTTATTTTTGGCCCTCCCTTGAAGTCGAGTTCCTCTACTAGGTCTGTGGTGGTTCAAACCACAGATCTTTTGGTTAACAATCATATACTTTAACCACACACCACTGAAGTGGATCCTGAATCAAATGAGAAAATATCCTTAGAAGAGGCACAAAGTGAAGAGACAGAAAAGAAGTGAATGCCTTGTGAAGATGGAGAAAAAGATTAGAACAAGTCGAGAAATGCCAGAAGCTGAAAGAAGCAAGAAAGGGAATCTCTCCTACAGCTTCTTAAGGAAGGATAGCCCTGCCAACAACTTGAATTCCGGTGTTAAGCCACAGGAAACTAATAG